TCCTGGACAAAGTCTGGGGTGACTGCTGCCTGGGTTTCGGGGTCTGGGCCTTTGGCCTGACACTCTGCTGGACTTCCTTCTTGTAGGTGTTGGAGAGGACAAAGCAGCTCATCGACAGCAACCCCAACCAGCCTCTGGTTATCCTGGAGATGGAGAGCGGCGCCTCAGCCAAGGCAATCAGGGGCTAGGGTCTGGGCACTTCCCGGCCTGTCCACTGCATGTCCCCTTCCTTCTAGGCCTCATCAGCCTTCTGGTGGCAGATGGGTGGGCTTTGAGTCTCTGAGCCATGTGGTCAACTGAGGGCTCGCTGTCTAGGATTAAGGTTAGACTAAGCCATGGAGAAATATGAGCTGGAAGAAGGAGCAGCTCCCTGGAGTTATAAGGCAAACTTCAGAGCTAGAATGTGGGCAGGGCTCTGGGATTGGTCCTTCTTCATACAGGCTCCCAGGGACAGCACCTGCTCTTGGAAGGAATTGGGGTGGTGGCTTGAGGGCTGAGCTCTGTAAACTCCCTGATTTAGAGCAGGGCCTCCTGCCCCAGGGCCCTAGCCTAACACTAGGTTCCCCCTGTAGGCTCTGAATGAAGCCTTGAAGCTTTTCAAGACGCATTCCCCACAGACGTCTGCCATGCTCTTCACAGTGGACAATGAGGCTGGCAAGATCACCTGCTTGTGTCAAGTCACCCAGGTCAGAACTCCCTGCAACCTTATTCCAAAGCCTGTAAACCTCTGCACCTCTGGGAAGCACAATCTGGCTTCTCAGAGTTTGGTTCTTCTGTTGTTTGCTGAGACCCATTTATGTTTGTGCAGCCCTTGTAAAAAACTGCCAACCTCCTGCCCACCTGTGTGTCACCTTTTTCAGTACCACTTACCCTCAGGCCTTTTCATTTGTGACTATGTGTGACTGTACTGGCTGACTTCTGGCTTAGCCACTCTTCTTCATCCTGGCAGTGGCCACTGACTAATCCTCTACCATTTGTAGAGTATGTCTCGGCCTCTGGCAGCAACACCCAGGGCAGGGGGCGGGTAACAGTGGCTTTCCCTCCATGCCCCTTTAATCCTATCCTCTGACCTGACTCCCACTTCCCCTTCCTGTCTTTCAGAATGCAGCCAACCGGGGCTTAAAAGCCAGTGAGTGGGTACAGCAGGTGTCAGGCCTGATGGATGGCAAAGGTGGTGGCAAGGACGTGTCTGCCCAGGCCACAGGCAAGAATGTGGGCTGCCTGCAGGAGGCACTACAGCTGGCCACTTCCTTTGCCCAGCTCCGCCTAGGAGATTTGAAGAACTGAGGGGAGGGGGGCTCTCACTGGCAGGTGTCTCCCTCACCCGGATACATCAGTCCAGCTGGGAGCTCTCCATCTGCCACAAGGACATTAGAATCTTGGAACTTTATAAACAGAGCCATCCGTCCTAACCCAGCAGTAACTGGAACACACCTGAGAGCCATCCTGTGACTCAGTGCCCCATTACATTACTGCCCTTTATATCAATGCCATCTGTTTAGAACTACTACCCCAGGATTGCTATTTAACAACTTCATGCTCGTGTCTGTAGATAACAGTTCTCTGCCAACCAGAGAGTTCTGGGTCTGCAGGTAGGAAAACTTTTTGCTGCAGAGAATAAAAGGACCATGTGCAATAACTTGATGCTGCCATGTGATCTGTGTCCCTGCTTCTCCTGAGGGACTCCTGTAAAATTTATGCTGTGTTCCAGCTGGTTCCTGGTTGCAGTCCTTACTGAGTCAGGCCCCTGAGTCCCCAGAAATTACCTCAAGACATTTGTGGAGGTAGAGGCAAACTAGGTAGGGTGAGATGAAGAGAGGTATTAATAATTCAATAGAAATGAGCCAGATGTGATGGCACACATCTGTAATCCCAGCTACTTAGAAAGTGAAGCAGGAGAATTGCAAATTTGAGACCAGCCTCAGCCACTCAGCAAGACCCTGTCTAAAAATAAAAAGGACGGGGAATGTAGCTCAGTGGTAGAGTGCCCCAGGTTTGATCCTCAGTGCAGCAAAAAATAATAAAAACAATAAACACGACTTAGGGCTATGGATGTAGCTCTGTGGTAGAGCACTTGCCTAGTATATAAAGGCCCTGGGTTCCATCCGCAGCACTGAAAAAAAGAAAAAAAAAATCTACCAAGAGTTACAGAAAGCAAAGAAATGCTTTTCTTAGCGCTTCTCTTGGGGAGAACATCTCCATGTCTTAGACCCTCCGCTGGCGACATTGTGTGCCCCGCCCTCCCTTTGAGGCAGCTGCTGTGAAGTCAGGTGGCTTATGAGAAGAATTCAGATATAGCATTGCCCCCCCATCCTCACTCCAGTAACTGCCCCATTCCCACTTGCTTGACCCAAACACGGTCAGTGAGGATAAAGACCCAGGTCTAGCTCTGAATTCAATTGATCTAAGTCTAAAACTGCAGTTCGGAATCAGTATGTGGGAAGTAAAGATATAGCTTGCCTGTGTTAGATACCCGATACAGCTAACTGGTCCTGGGGCCAAGGCACTCTTGGCCCTGCCGTCAGAGTTGAAGGGGGAGCAGGTCTATGCTGCAAGAAAGGGGCCCTCCTCCCATAGGGTATGAGAAAGAGGGAGGGTGCTGGGACCCTGGGTTAAAGCCTCAGGTGCCAGAAGTGCTAGAGATTGACTACATTGTCTAGTGCCCAGTGCAGCAAGAGAGACATTCCATCCATTCATTAAAACAAGTATATCAACTAGGGCCCGGAGTACAGGAATTCAGAAACAAAAAGTCCTTGCCTTGGACAAATCCATAGAAGAGCTGCACACGTGCAAAATTAAGATAACTGCAACCTTCACAGGAAAAGAAGATTAACATCCTGACCTGGGAGACGCGATCAGCTGGATTCGGCCTTGCTCCCCCTGGCAGGCCTGGGCTTCCTTGTCCCTTGCAAGCGGTGGCGCTCGCTGTTCTTCCTCCAGGCCGGCAAGGGGCAGTGTGGGCTCCCCGCCTGCTGCTATCCCGACAGCCCTCACCCGGGCGCGCGTCTTTAAGCTGGCGGAAGAGCCGCGCGCGAGGCAGGGCTGGGGGCGGAAGCGGCTCGTACTCCGGGTGCTGCCATGCCAGGAGACCACCGTCGCATCCGCGGGCCCGAGGAGTCCCAACCACCTCAACTGTACGCGGCGGACGAGGACGAGCCGCCTGCCCCCCGCGACCCAACACGGCTGCGGCCTGTGTACGCTCGCGCCGGGCTTCTGAGCCAGGCCAAGGGGTCGGCCTACCTGGAGGCGGGCGGTACCAAGGTGCTGTGCGCCGTGTCTGGCCCACGCCAGGCCGAGGGCGGCGAGCGCGGCAGTGGCCCTGCTGGAGTGGGCGGCGAGGCCCCGGCCGCGCTGCGCGGTCGCCTGCTCTGCGACTTTCGCCGCGCACCCTTCTCGGGCCGCAGACGCCGCGCGCCCCCGGGCGGCGGCGAGGAGCGCGAGTTGGCCCTGGCGCTGCAGGAGGCGCTGGAGCCGGCTGTGCGCCTGGGGCGCTATCCGCGCGCGCAGCTCGAGGTGTCGGCGCTGCTGCTGGAGGACGGCGGCTCGGCGCTGGCCGCCGCGCTCACGGCCGCGGCGCTTGCCCTGGCCGACGCGGGAATTGAGATGTACGACCTAGTGGTGGGCTGTGGCCTGAGTCTCTCGCCGGGACCCGCGCCCACCTGGCTGCTGGACCCCACGCGGCTCGAGGAGGAGCGCGCCGCCGCCGGTTTCACCGTGGCGCTTATGCCGGTGCTCAATCAGGTGGCCGGGCTGCTGGGCAGCGGGGAGGGCGGCCAGACCGAGAGCTGGGCCGAGGCCTTGCGCTTGGGCCTCGAAGGCTGCCAGCGCCTCTACCCCGTATTACAGCAGTGCCTGGTGCGGGCAGCCCGCCGGAGGGGAGCGGCCTCCGCGTCCTGAGTTCCAAGCCTGAGCATCAACAAATGGAGTGCTGCTGCTGCTGCTGTCCTTAAAGGACCTGTGCGGTCGGTCTCCTGCCTCCACCCAGCTAAGAATCTGGAGCACAGGAGAGGAGGTCGAGGCATACACACACGAACCAATGCACTGGACAGCTATGTTTGAATGACTTTTTTACAAACTGTTCTATTAAAGGGACTTTCTATTTGAGCTGGCACCCAGTTACTACGATCCAACTGAAGAAACCTATGGAAGCAGCCTTACTCCCAAGTTGAAAAGGACTTAAGCTGGACTTATCTGAAAAATGAGATCTGGAGCTATGGCCTTTTAAGAGATGAACCCTATATAGGCCAGCTATTGACTCTTTCCAATATAACTGGGCTACTCTTAAGAGGATGAACAAGGGGGCAGTGCCTCAATATCTAAGCTAAAACATAACAAAAAAACTTTTTTTTTTATGTCGTACAAACGTCTTCTGTTGTGGTTCTTTAAGTACCAGAGTAGGGGCAGCTGCTGAAATGTAATAAGAATAGGGAAAGTTGAATGGCCCTGGGTACACCCCTACTCAGGTTTAGAGCCAGATAAGACACAAATCAGGGTTGGGTGTTTGGGAAGGATTGTACTTTGGATGGAAGCAAGATCTCCTCAGCATAACCAGAGGCCTCCATTGCTGATGAGAAGTGGGGTCCTGGGCTGCCTTCATCTGGTACCCCTGGGAGCAAGACCCTGAGCAGTGTGGCCTGGGGAGATGGCAGATGCACTGCCAAGAGTGAGAGTTCCTAGATAAAAATGCCTCCTGCCAGACAGCCTCACCTTCAGATACAGCCCCGCTATTCTATAGGGCAGTGCTAGCTTAACTGACCATGAAGGTGGAGTCTTCACTCTACTCAGACCTGGATTAAAGGAAGCTAGGAGACTTGTTCCGGAGGCAGCACAGCCTTTTCCCCTCTACCCTAGTTTGTTATGAGCTTTGAAATTTGAGGGTCTCAAGGACCTGTTCAGCCTCTCTCCTGACTGCCTAGGACAGCCCAAGGATCAGAATAAAGTTGAGACCACAATAAGAATCTCCAACCAGGAAGGAGATATACAAATTTTAATGTTTCCCTTCTGATGTAATACATTTTGTGAGGCAAACCTGAAATATGTGGTGTCATACTAGCAAGAAACTATGAAGCTGGACACAAAAATTATACCCCTATTCTGAAGCATGGCTTTATAGAGTAGATGGGGAGTCTGGAACTAAAAGGGGTTAGGTGGGGCACACACAGGGTCTTACAACTTAGTGTCAGACTGGAGGCACACATGTGTTTCAACACTTGCTGGAGAAAGCTGGGCTGGCTGCTGCATGTGTTCCATAGTACTGCGACTTGTGGCTCATGGGGAGGTGGCACCTGAGCCATATCTGCATCCAGGGAGGCCTGATGCTGCTCCATACAGTACCCTGTCAACTGCCTCCTCCCAGACAGCCTCACCTTCATAAGAATGGTGAGCAGCAGCTGGGCTGTCCAGGAGCTCATCTGAAAACCCTCTCCAAAGCTAAACCCACCACTATGGGGAGACTCAGCTGGCCTGCCTGACCTGTTCCTCTTCTTCCATTACCCAGAATGGGTGCCTCAGGTTGCCTGGATGCACCCAGGAGGCCTTCGGAAAAACAGGCAAGGAAGGGAGTCACCCAAGAAGGTGCATGAAACTGATGAGCCTGGAAGGGTTCCCACCTACTGGCTTCCCTCTTGGTAGGGTGCTTGATTCTTCATCTGTAGAAAAAAATAAAATGATGGGTCTGGGGTTGTGGCTCAGTGGTAGAGTGCTTGCCTAGCGTGCGTGAGGCGCTGGGTTTGATTCTAGGCACCACGTACAAATAAATAAATGTTCATCAACAACTAAAAAATATATTTTTAAAAACATTTATTTTTAGTTGTAGGTGGACACAATATGTTTATTTTAATTTTTTAAAATAACTTTGTTTATTCTTTCTTTTGTGTGGTGCCGAGGATTGAACCCAAGGCCACATGCATGCCAGGTGAGCGCTCTACCACTGAGCCACAACCACAGCCCCCTAAAATATATTTTTAAAAAATAAAAGAGTGGGGCTGGGAATGTGGCTCAAGCAGTAATGTGCTTGCCTGGCATGCACGGGGCGCTGAGTTCGATCCTCAGCACCACCTAAAATAAAATAAAGATGTTGTGTCTACCGAAAACTGAAAAATAAATATTAAAAAAAATTCTCTCTCTCTCAAAAAAAAAAAAAAAGTAGCTGATAAGACAGGGAGGCAGAGTAGAACTAGGAAAAAGGGCCAACATGTAGTCCCTTTGCTACCTTCCCCCCACCCCTGTGTCTTTGGAGCTTTAGCAACTCCAGGGCAACTCTGGGGGGGGGGTACATCTGGAATTGGACCCAGAAGTTGCACATGTTAAGCACACCCTCTATTACTAAGCTATATTCTCAGTCCCTCTTCAGGCTTCTTGAGACCTGGGAACTCAAAACCAGCAGGCAAAAGAAAGCATTTTCTCCTTCTAACCCATTCTTTTCTCAGGTCCTAGGCAGTAGTGAAGGCTCTCCTAAGCTCAGAAGGCCAAGGGTGGAACTGAGGAGGTGGAGGAAGGAAGCTCATTATGCCCAATTCCGTGGCAGCACTGGCCTTGCTAAAAGGGCCGAAGAGGCAGTGTGGGCTTGGCCCATCTTAAGGACCACCATTAGTAGAAGAGAGTGTGGGAGAACCTGTAATATTCAGGACCTTTAATACTGAAAAAATGGCATCTTCTCCAGTCAGGAATGTCACTGTACCATAGCTTCCCAGGGAGCTTGGTGCCATGCAGACAGCTCAAAGGCCCTGGGGGAGTAGGACCAGGGAGAAGGCAGAATTTGGTTCTTATGCAAGGGATCTGGGACCATGGGACACATTTGTGACATTTCCTCTATAGTCTATAGCTCAAATCTCTCCTGCCTTCCAGATGGAGATGATATTTCAGCCCACAACAGATCCAAGTGCCCAACTGCTTGGCAGTAGTCCCTGGTATAGCATAGCTGACCAAGCCCAGAGCTGCGAGGATAAAATGCAGGGCCAGGCCCATCCTTTACTTGGGCTCCTCTCAAGTTGAAGTCATATGCTTTCCCCTACCCCACTATTGTGTGCTGCACAAACCCAAGTCCCTCCCTTGCTCTGAAGGCCACAAGGACCCAAATACAAGGGGGAGAAGAGAGGTAGACCACTCACTGCCTGCTGGGTGTCTGTGCTTCCCTCGGAGCTGTCTGCCTCCAGATGGAACCTCTGGTCCCTGGGCTCCTGCTGGGGCTCCGGAGTTCTGCATGAGGACCCCTCACTACCAGGGTTCCTGTGCTCTTCAATGTCCTTTGTCCCTGTGCAGAGTTGCCAGTCAATGGCCAAGTTTGGAGGCTCCAGCTGACCCCATCAGGGTCCGGCATTGATTTAGGATATCTAGGGCTTGGGAGGGCAAGAAGCAGATGGGCCAGGATACTGCTCAGGCTCCAGATAGCTGCTGAATAGGAGGGGGTGACAGAACAACCCAGAAGCCACAAGCATCCTCCAGTCACAAGAATAGCCAGAGGGAATAGACGGGAAGTGCATTCCAGGGAAGGGAGGCCTGCAGACAGGGAAAACCCCAGGCGGAACCCTGGGCATCCTGGCATCTTCAGAAGCAGGAAAAGCTGGGGCTGAGAGCATGGCCTGGGGTCCACCCTGGGTGCCTGACCTGCAGGATGGTCCCTCTGTTGGTCCATGTGTTCCAGACTCTCCAACAGGCTGTCCACTTGGGCTTTGATCTGGCTCAGCTCCCCCCTGATGGAGCGCAGCTCCTCAGTCCTGACTGCTGGGAGAGGGCCAGTGATGGACCTCAACTCCTGGGCACAGAGGCCACGGTAGATGAGGGCAACGTTGCCAGGGCTCTGGGGCCTGTTCTTATTGTAGGTACAGCCATACAGTTCCTCCCAAGCTCTGCAGGAGAAATCTATGTCCCCTTACTTACGCTTTATCTGCCTGGGGGACAGGTGGTTATTCCTGGAACCTTTGTAGGGGCTGCAACTGTTCTTGACTCCCATGCCCAAGTGGGTCCTTCTCATCTTGGAAGACATCTGGCTGATGAGTGGAGGGATCCTCTGGTATTCATACATTCTATAGGGACAGGAGAGAGGAGAAGTCAAGCCAATCAGCACCATCATCTCCCCCAGAGGACCCAGGAGTAGGACCCACTCACCTGTAGGGGACTTCTTCTCTGTGCAGCTCAAAGTTCAGGTTGTAGTTACTGCTGCTGCTGCAGAGACAAATGGGAAGTTGGGGAGGGCGGTGGTCACTGTCTAGGGCCAGAATTTCTACCTGGTCCCTAACTGAATTTGGGGAAGTGGAAATAACGCAGCTGTTCCTTAGAGCCCCAGGATTCTCCACCTGAAGAACCCCCTGGGACTTGCTCAAGGTCACTTTGAGAGACCACAGCAAACCAGCTTTCCCCTGGATGCACTCTGATGAGGAGCTAATGGTTCCAGGTGGCAGGAAGGGACAATCGCCTTCAGGCTTCTGGCCCTCCAAAGGCTTTTCTGCCTAAGCAGGGCACTGTTGATGTTCTGGATCTTAATCTGGCAAAGGATGAAAAGGAAGAATTAAGTCAGAGCTCAAAGCCACTGTGGGGGTGTGAGAGTCTTTAATCCTCCTGTGGCAATTGCCAGGATGCAGGGACTAGCACAGGCAGGGCCAGCAGGCAAGGACAGAGCTGTGGCCAGACCACCTGCCCCTTTGCTGCAGGCCTTGGAAAAGGACAAGCTCCAGAAAGAACCCAAAGCTCACATTGTCTGACTTCAGCCTTCTCACACCTGCTCAGGGGTGCAGGTGCCAGGAGGGTGGGGGACTCGTTCAGCGAGACAACTGGGTCTCTTCTGCCTCGGCAGGAAGGGTCTGTGGGGACACCCGGCAGGAGCTTCAGGTACCATGGCGCTAGGCCTGGGGAAGGTGAGGAATTGGGGATAGTGTAGAGGGGCATAAGTTCTGGAAGAACTTTCTGGTACCGCTCAGGGCCAGCCCAAGATAGGCCAGGTGTGTGGGGTTCCCTAGGGCGGTCTCTGAGCGGGGCCGCCCTTCCCTTTCATCCTCAGGGTCCCCAGAACTGCAGCCCGCCCCGTTTTCTGGATTCAGGAGGCCGGGAAGCACAGGGCTGCTGACGATTCCGGTGGATGGGAGGAGGAGGAAGAGAAAGGACCTAAGGGCCGGCGCAGATTCCTCCTCCTCCTCCCCGCTTCCCCCAGGTGTTGTGGGTTTGGGATGGGAGGAGCGCTGTGATCAGGTCCCAGCTCCAGGTGACCAGTTTCTGGAGTCCAGAAAGTTGGGCAGACACCCGATCTCAAAGGACGTCTGCCTTTGACCACCTGGGCCTCAATGTTGGCCCCTCTCGCAGCACAGCATTGGTGGTTCAGTGGTAGAATTCTCGCCTGCCACGCGGGAGGCCCGGGTTCGATTCCCGGCCAATGCACAGCTTACCTTTTTTTTCCTTTTGTTGTTTTTAACTTCTTCCTTAACCTTACTCCTGTTTTCCAAAATGACCGTTTTAAATGTATTAAGCCAGGGATGAGTCTTGTGAAAGAACAGAATTTTACTAACTACTGCTCAAGTTGAGACAAGCCGGGGTTTGGGCGCATGCGCTCGTGCAGCGGAGCCTGTTTCAGGGAGAGGTCCCTCTCCTCCCGGGGGCCTCCCTACTCCCGCTTCCTCTGCGAGCGCTGACCCGTTCCCCAGGCGGATGGCCCTGCCTATTTCTCCCCCAGGGGAGCGTCCTGGTTGTACCTGGGCAGCGGCCTCCGCTGCCTCTGGTCTGGAAATGGTTACAGTCTGCAAGCCTGGACCTTCCAACGACAAGAGAGAAAACACAGTCGGAATGGCTGTGTGCGGGCAGTGGTCAGGCCACCTCCTCACGTGTTCTCAGGCCGAGGAGCAAGAGGGACCCGTGTGGGTCAGTCCTTCATACCACAACTTTCCCTGCGCTTGATAAATTCCATTTTTCAGACTGGAAAATGTAATCTGAAATCCCCCAGTAAGTACTCATGGAGGGGCCCTCAAGCAGCACCTGGGGTAGCACTGGGTTGCTCTCACCTGAGTCCCTGGGCACAATGAGGCCTTAAGGAGGACACCTCTGTCCACCTCTGCCTCAGGTCTTGAAAGCCCAGAGGCCCCTCGAAATGAAGACCGAGTCCCTTTAGGACAGGCAGGATCACTCACTCCCCATGGCTTCCAGTCTCCCGCCCCCACTACCACCCCAAAGTGACCCAGGGTGGGAAATGGATCCAAGTCGGCTGCGAGAGGGGTTGGAGCAGAAAATATGAAACTGGAACTGAAAAACTGAGGAGCCACTAATCTTCCATCAGACAGCCTCAAAAAATGGTCATAAACGGGCATGGTGGTGCACACCTGTAATCCCAGCAGCTCAGGAGGCTGAGGCAGGAGGATTGGGAGTTCAAAGGCAGCCTCAGCAAAAGCGAGGTTCTAAGCAACTCAGTGAGACCCTGTCTCTAAATAAAATTCAACATAGGGCTAGGGATGTGGCTCAGTGGTCAAGTGCTCCTGAGTTCAATCCCTGGTACCACAAAAAAAAAAAAAAAAAAGAAAGAAAAAGAAAAGAAAAGAAAGAAAGAAATGGTCATGATGGCAGGTGCAGTGCACGCCTGTAATCCCAGTGGCTCTGAGGCTGAGGTTGGAGGATCACAAGTTCAAAGCCACTCTCAGCAATGCAGTGAGGCCCTAATCAATTTAGTGAGACCTTGTCTCTAAATAAAGTACAAAATAGGGCCAGGGGTGTGGCTCAGTAGTTAAAAGCCCCTGGGTTCAATCCCCAGTTCAAAAAAAAAAAAAAAAAAAAAAAAAAAAACTGGTGTGAGCCAGGAACAGTGGTGCATGCCTGTAATCCCAGCTACTCAGTACTCAGGAGGCTGAGACAGGAGGATCGAAAGTTGAAGGTCAGCCTCAGTAACTTAGCGAGACCCTGTCTCACTTTTTTTTTTAATATTTATTTTTTAGTTGTAGTTGGACACAATACATTTTAGTTATTCATTTTTATGTGGTGCTGATGATTGAACCCAGGGTCTTGTATGTGTGAGTCGAGTGCTCTACCACTGAGCCACAACCCCAGCCCCCACTGTCTCACATTTAAAAATAAAAATAAAAAGGGCTGGGGATGTGGCTCTGTTGCACAGGGCCTGTGGGTTCAATCTCCAGAACAACAACAACAAAAAAATAAATAAAATAAAGTAAAATAACAAAATACATCACATGTGATAACTAGGAGAACCACTCTTCCATCAGACAGAAGATTATAAAGTCTTATCAACAGACTCCCCTAGTTGAGAGTCTTGCTCACAAACCAACACACAGCATTTACAGATCTACATCACCAAAGAATGTAAGGTTAAAAACAAAACAGAAGTACACCTCTACTCTGCAGCCCCCAAAACAAGAACAGTGAGAAGCTGCTCACACGGTTACACTGCAGGTGACACAGACTCAGACTGCTGCTAGCAGGGAGAGATTTGGCCTAATTCCTCTTGAGGTCAACCTGGAGGTACAGAGGCATCTCAGAGCAGCCCACGCCCAGCCCTGCCACCCCACTTCTGGGGAGATGAGCAGAAATGAATGCCAAAAGTAACTGGAACCATAGTACCGGGGTGTTTGCAGCTGCGCTGTTCCTAGCAACAATCACCTGTCCTCAGAGCAAGGCCGAAATCTCCCAAGTGCCACATCAAGGCCAGATGCTGACTGCAGCCATTGCAAATGCCCAGTTAAGGAGACAGAGAGGCCAATGGGGGTTCAATATACCCTCCTCACACCAGTGAAAATGGCGTGTTTGCTAGAAAACGTTGGCGAGTTCCTTTATGAAAATGTTTAAAGAGTATAAAAATTGCTTTAAGGGCTGCAGGGAGCTCAGTGATAGAACACACTTACCAAGCATGTGGGAAGTGCTGGCTGCATTTGATTCCTGCACCAGAAAAAAATATATATATATATTGCTTTAAGTTTCCCAAGTGAGGGGCAAGGTGTCATCCAGAGAGGTTCCCATTTACTACTTCTCAATGTCTATACCTGGAAAAAGCCCTCAACTCCCACAGGTCGAGGTGAGAAGGTTCCCCTCAGAGGACCCAGGCCTGGCTCCAGAACAGAGAAGGGACACCAGCAAGATGGTGACCGGGTTCGTTGGCTACAAAAGTACTGGAAAGTGCTGGGTCAGTTTCCTGAGGCGAGGGACAAGGAAACTTCTCGCCAGAATGAGCAGCCTGAGCATGGAGTGGGCAGTGTACTGACGGACCCACTTGGAGTTCTTGTCCTGTCCCAGGAGAACCCAAACAAGCCAGCAACCATTCTCCCTCCTCAGCCAGCCAAGGGACAGACTCACCAGAAGATGGCGGTTCCCAGCTGCCTCTTCTGGCTTGACCGGGCAGGACCGGGCCTGGGCTCTCGAGCCATGTCCAAATCTAAAGAGAGAGCAGGAGAGTGGGGCAGAGGTGAAGGGATGAAGGGGTGCAGTGGGAGGGGAGTGGGAGCACCTGCGCACAGGGCCCTGCTCTTCAGCTCTGGAGGGAAGGAACCCAGACCCCCTACCCAGGCCTGGCATCAGGCCCCAGGAGTTTATCCTAGAGGTGCCCCTAGACAAAGAGACAGGCTCTTGGGCACACTTTAAAACAAAAATAGTTAGAAACTTCCAGAGTTTGGGAAAATAAAGCGATTGCTTCCTTCAAACCCACACCCACAGCCAATTGACCCCATTGCTCAGTTCCCATACCTGGGAGTGGTCCTGTCAAAAGGCAGGAGAGGGTTTGCCTGTGATCCTTGTGTCCTCTGAGGAGACACTCAGCCCTGGTCTGGGATAATTCTTAAGAGTCCTCCCGCTGCCGGCCCAGGATATGGCCCCTCTGTCTGCCTGGCTGCCTGTGCACTGCCTGCTCGCGGCCGGGCCCACGCCCCACACCTGCCTCTGTGCTAAGCCCCTTGCCAGCTGTCACTGAAAGAGCCAGAGTGGCTCAGAGTGACAAGCAAGTCTCAAATTCACAAAAGTGTTGCCCTCAGACAAACAAATTTCCCAGCCCCAAACCCAGATGGTTTACCTTGAACTCAAAAGCATCACAGAAAGGCAGGGGGCCCAGCACAAGATGTGGAAGGCTCACCAGGTACCCAGCTTGGGATGAGCTCTGGAACTTGAATGCTCATGGGAAGAGGAAGTCCCGGGTATTAGAGGGGCCAGTAATCTTTATGAAATTCTACTAAAGTTAATTTAACAGATTTGAAATTCTAATTTTTTTTAAAAAATTTTTTTTTAGTTATAGAGGGACATAATACTTTTATTTTATTTATCTATTCTTATGTGGTGCTGAGGGCTGAACCCAGTGCTTCACACGTGCCAAGCAAGGGCTCTACCATTGAGCTACAACTCCAGCCCCCCTCCCCAACATTTTTTAAAAAAGAGGTTTATGTAGTATTTTATGGTTGCCAATTGAGTGTGTCAGCTAAATTGTAGCAGGATACATTTAAGTATTTAAGAAGAAAATATAGCTGGGTGTTATGGCAGATGCCTGTAATCCCAGTGACATGGGAGTCTGAGGTAAGAGGATGGCAAGTTCAAAGCCAGCCTCAGCAACTTAGTGAGGCCCTAGCAATTTAGCAAGACCTTGTCTCAAAAAAAAAAAAAAATTAAAGGGCTGGGGATTTGGCTCAGCAGTAAAGTACCCCCGGGGTTCAATCCCCAGTACAAGAAGAAGAAGAAGGAGAAGGAGAAGAAGAAAAAGGAGAAGGAGAAGAAAATACAAAGGAGTCCTAAATTCTTCAGGCAACTTCCTAATGGATGCCTTGGACCCAAGGAAGCAGGGAGCAGGGATCCCTGAGGGCCATTGCACTGGCTCTCGGTGTTGCTGGCCAATGGGCCACATCCACTTAGAAGGGTCGGGTAAGGCTCCCCCTGGGACTTGTGTGGGGCTGGCTGAGTTCAATGGACTGAGTGTAAGCTGAAGCAAGGAATTTGGGCAGCCTTGGGAGGAGGGTGCTGAGGACCCTGGATTCCCCCTTCCCATCTGGACAGAGAGGCCTGGAGGGTGTGCTTGGCCTATGATCAGCCCCAGATTCTCTTGTGACTCAGTAGGCAGCTGGCTGGCCATAATATTACTTAGGGAATGGGTTTCTGCAGCAATGTTTGAGGTCATATCTGGGGCAAGGAACCTGCTGATTGCTAGTAGAACCATGGACAACCATGAGTCAGGACCCTCCAGCCCCAGGGGGCTCCTCTGCCCCAGCCCCCTTGATATGCAGTGACGGCAACAACAGGGAGGACCTCATTCCCATATTTCCAAATGCAGGGAGGGCTTTGCAGGTGTGTAAGCTGTGCAGTCACATGGGGTCCTCATTCAGAAGGACCTTATGCTTACTATATGCTCTGCTGTTGCCATCTTGAAATTCTTAATAATTTTTGAACTTGAATTTTCATTCTGTATGAGATCCTACAAATCACATAGCTGGGCCTATGCCTCAGCCTCAACCAAAGGTTGACCTGAGGGGCTGGGGATGTGGCTCTAGCGGTAGCTCGCTCACCTGGCATGTATGCGGCCCGGGTTCGATCCTCAGCACCACATACAAACAAAGATGTTGTGTCCGCCGAAAACTAAAAGATAAATATTAAAAAATTCTCTCTCTCTCTCTCTCTCTCTCTCTCTCTCTCTTTAAAAAAAAAAAAAAAAAGAACAAAGGTTGACCTGAAGTTTCAGTGGGCAAATACAGCAACATATCAATCACCTTCCGATCTTCCACTCTAGCACAGGACCTCACACACAGAGCTCAGCAAATATTCTGCCGAGTGATCAGGTTATAGAGCCTGGATTCTGTTTCATCATCCCTAGGAGAGATTTTTTTTTTTTTTAAGTGCTCAGGACAGGGAGACCCAAGCCTCATATTTGGGACAAGAGGCTTTTGGGCCAACCAGGTGAGAGTCTTTCTCAAGCCTTCTCCTGGGTGCAGGAGGGACAACCCTGGTGGGTTCTAAGGCAGCTACTGACCTCTTTTCTCCAAGACATTCTGGATGCTCAGAGCAAATTTGGAATGGATGTTGACAGGATGAAGCTGTGCCCCAGCCAGCACCCTCTACCAGCCTTCTGTCCTTCTGCATGTGTGACATTGTTTGTAGAACTATCTGTACCACCAACGTACCTTCCTCTTCACTTCCAGAATCCAACATTCAGAGGAGGCTGTCTGGAACTACGTTTGAATCTCCTTGTCCCTGCCCAAGGCACAGAAGCAGAGATTGAGGGAAGAACTGCAAGTCCTAGAGCTGCTTTGGCTCTGTAGCATTCACCTCCAAAGACAGAGTAGGAAAAGCAGAGTCCAGGAAGTGCATTCAAACTTCTTCCCCACCCAGTGCTCACCCAGAGCCCTCTGTGGTCTCCTCTCCTCACTCATTTGCTTTTTCATTTTCTTTTTTTGTACTGGGTATTGAACTCAGGGGCACTTAACCACTGAGCCATATCCCCAGCCTGTTTTATTTTTTATTTAGAGACAGGGTCTCGCTAAATTGCTGAGGCTGACTTTGAACTTTTGATCTTCCTGTCTCAGCCTCCCGAGCCCCTGGGATTTCAGGCAAGCTCCACCACACCTGGCTCACATCATTCTTTTGTTGTTGTTCTTGTTCTCCTTAGTTCCACATGACAGCAGGATGCATTTCAGTTCATTGTACACAAATGGAACACAGCTTTTCATTTCTCTGGTAGTATACGATTTAGAGTTGTACCATATGTGCAGTCATACATGTACCTAAATCCTGGATGTACCAGGTACCAGGGGCTTTTTGCAATGAATATGGGTCATTCTTTGAGCTACCTCATATCCCAGCCCTCTTCCTGTTCAGTGGTATTCCCAAACAGAGCCTGTCTCTCCTGAAAGAAGCTGAAAATGCCCTTTCTGCTTTGCTTTCCCAGTCTTCCTTGCAGCTACGGCCTGGGAACGTGGCTTAGCTCCTTCAGACAGCTCCAGGCCCAACTTGGTACTACAGCTGCTGATGTGCCCAGCAGAGGCAGTAGGGTCTTCACCAGTCAGTTCTACCGTGTGACCTCTCTAGAACTGATTCCCCTCCCCTTCCAGAGCTCCTGGGAACTAACAAGTATTTCCCACAAAACTCATTTCTTTCTACTTAGAGTTGCCAGATTTAGTTTCTGTGGTTTAAAACTGAGAACTTTAATTAAAACCAAAACAGCACCAGGAGTGAATGAAGCAAGAAGGCCTGAAGGAAGTAGGAGGACTCTCAGGCTGGTAAGTGGCCAGAGGACTGTGGAACTCCAGCTAGTAATAAGGGACAGGACGCCAGCAGCCCATGCCATGCCATGGCAAGACAGTTAATCCCATAGTCCCCGAGAACAAAGCTCTCATCTCAGGCAAGGCTTTGAGGGAGCTAGTGCTCCTGTCATAGAAGAGAACAAAGATCACACTGAAGTCAAGATCTGTTGGGCAGGTAGTTGTGCCAATGGCCATAGGAAAGCGATGCCCAATGGCTGCCTCCACCTTCAGGTACCTAGCCTGTGAAGCCTAGATTTCCTAGGTCTCCAGAGAGCACACCATGTGGCAGTCTCTCTGGGTACACAATGAGAATATTGGATATTTACATTCATTTTAATTTTTAAAATTTTTAAAATTGTAGACAGACACAATATCTTTTTTTTTTTTTTTAATGTGATGATGAGGATCGAACCCAGTGCCTCACACATGCTGGGCAGGTGCCCTACCACGGAGCTACAACTCCAGCCCTACACTCATCAATACCCTTTAAAGTATTCATTTGTGTCTCTTTCATAATGTGCATAGTATTTTAGTATTGCAGTACTCGGAGACAATTCATAAGTGAATACAGAATGGAAACACTTTTTAATTAATTAATTAATTAATTTATTTATTTATTTATTTTTGGTACCAGGGATTAAACTCACCCACTGAGCCACATCCCCGCCCTATTTTTATTTTTATTTTTTAAATATTATTTTTTAGTTATAAGTGGACACAATATCTTTATTTTATTTTTTATATGGTGCTGAGGATGGAACCCAGTGCTTCACACACGGTAGGTGAGCGCTTTACCTCTGAGCCACAACCCCAGCCCCCTATTTTTATTTTTAATTTAGAGACAAAGTCTCACTGAGTTGCTTAGCACCTTGCTGTTGCTGAGGCTGGCTTTGAACTTGTGATCCTCTTGCCTCAGCCTCCTGAGCTGATGGGATTACAGGCATGGCCATTGTGCCTGGCTTTAAGTTGCTTTTTTGTTTTGGTACCAGGGATTGAACCCAGGGTTGCTTACCCACTGAACAAAATCCCCAGCCCTTATTTTATATTTTATTTAGAGACAGGGTCTCACTAAGTTGCTGAGGCTGGCTTCACAATCCTCCTGCCTCAGCCTCCTGAGCTGCTGGGATAACAGGCTTGTGCCACCATGTCAGCCATGTTTTAACTTTCACAACTAAATTATACACAAAGCACCAGTTTGATGAGAGAGAGAGAGAGAGAGAGAGAGAGAGAGAGAGAGAGAGAGAGAGAGAGAGAGAGAGAGAGAGAAAGCGGCAAGTGCTATGCCATCTAGAACTATCTTTAGAACACCAATTTGAGCCAGAAGGCATTGCAAGGGGTTCGCTGTCCTGTTCTGGGCAGAACCTCAGGAAAGGGCTTCCTTTCTCTTGGAAAGCCCAGCAGCTTGTTCCATATTCTCTCTCTCTCTGGAGGCCAGCTGGTTCTCACTCTGAGTTATGGTCATATTCATCCACTCAGCCAACTTTGCTTTCCTGTTCCCCGCTGGGGAAGGTAAACACAGGTTGGAACTTTTTTTTTTTTTTTTTTGGTGGTGGGGATACTAGAGATTGAACCCTTTCTACTATCACACTGTATCCCCAGTTCTTTTTATTTTTTATTTTGGGACAGGGTCTTGTTAAATTACTGAGGCTGCCTCAAACTTGTAATCCTCTTGCTTCAGCTTCCGGAGTCACTGGAATTACAGGTGACTGCCACCACACCCCGGCTAGGCTGGGACTTTTAAAGAACTAGCTCCAGGGCTGGAGGTGTAGCTCTATGGCAAAGCACTTGCCTAGCAGGTAGGCGGGGCCTGGGCTCCATCTCCAGCACTGCAAAAATAAACCACCAGAGAGATGGCAGATACCTGGTAGATCAGGCCATGCAAAATTTCCAGAATATACTTCTGTATCACTATCTGATCATGTAACCAATATCTGTTGATTGCATAAAACTGTGTTTTGTCCTCGGATTGTTGGCCATGCCGAGATATAAGGGCCAGCAAAGCCAGACACAACCACTGAAAACCTGAGGGAGGAAGCACGGAGCGAGCGGCCTGCCCAGGATACGTGCCTTCGATGGCACCGCCTCCTCACACCTTGGGCTGATCTCCAGGGCGTCCCAGCTCAGAGCCTTGAGGACCTCGGAGGTGACTGGTCGCGCCCCTCCGTTTCCAGCGGTGAAGCCTGTGGACCACCAAGCGAGCCGCAGGCAGGTCTTTCCACACCGGCGTCTACACCTGCTGGGAGCCCACTGGACTTCGGGTCACACAGCCCACCCAGTACCACTCTTCCCACCGCCCACTGCGTGGTGTTGGGGTGGGAGGGTCTGGGACCTGCCGCCCCGCCTGTCCTGTAGCGGGTCGCCCCCGCAGGGCGCGCCCAGGCCAGCCCCCTGCCCCGTGGGCGCGCGCAGGACGCACCCTTCTGGGACACGCCTCAGGATGCAAAAAACACCATGCCTCCCAGGAAGGCCAGGTGACAAACGAGCGTCTCAGCTGGAGGAGTATGGGCCGTGTCCCCGGAGAGCCGAGGACCCGGAGGTAGGCGGGGTCGCCCGCAGTGGGGCTCCCTCCCGGGTCTCGGGGGACGGACGGGATCGCCCGGCGGGACTTGGAACCGTGCGACTACGCTGGCGCGGGCGAGGCTCCCAGGGCCACAAGTTGCCTTTGTGGGCAGTGTGTCCGCCGATCCTGAGGCGAAGTGGTCTTCCACGACCCGGGTAGAGAGTTGCGACGGATGGGTGACTACCTGGCAGGACCATGGCGGGGGAGCAGGGCCCCTCCTGTCTCCCGTGAGGCAGAGGAGGCGTTGGGCAAGCTGACCCGCAGGCGTCCTTGGGCAGAATTTTGGGGTTTATGGCCTGGGCTCTCTGAACCGAGCAATTGCAAGACCAGCCTCCCCCTTTGTGAGTGGATGATATTGTTAGAGACATCTGTGTGAATGCCCAGCGCCCAGCGTGTGCCCGCGCTCTGAGTTAGGGCACGACAAAACTTCTCCCATGCCCCCTGGATTAAACCCACCGGACCAACCCCCCAACCAAAAAAAAAAAAAAAAAATATATATATATATTTAGATGAGATGATCGGACTGACCAGGTTTGATTCCCAATGCACCACTGCCTCGGGTAAATTTCTGAACCTCTCTGTGCCTACATTTCTTCAACTGTAAAATGAGGATAGCAATACTCACTTCTCAGTGAGGATGTCTGTTTAAATGAGTTAATAGACATCAGGTGTTGATTACAGAGTCTGACACACAGTACTTAAGTGCATGCTCCAATATTTGAGGAGCTGGATGGAGGAGTGTAACTCTCCAGGTTCTTACTATACCATCAGCCCTGATATGTGAAAACACTACATCATGGGAAACAAGAGACAGACTCACACACACACTGTGTCCCAGGTGTGCAGGGCAGTGTCTACCCTGCCTGCTTGAGGCCCTGTCCTGGGAGTTGCTGGAGAAAAGACCCCCTACTGAGGCAGAGTTTGGTTTTCCATGTTACTGGAGAGCCTGAAAACATCCAAAGGGTAGCCTGGGTCACAAGACTGAGCAGGAAAGGAACAAGGTGAATAGTGGGAAAGTGAGATGACAAGCCCCCTCTGTCTTTTGAGGATCATCCTAGGGCATCTGAATTCTCCAAGCTGAGCAATTGCAAGTCCAGCCGATTCATAAATTAGTTTAATCCTTCCTGGGAGGCATCTGGTGGTGAAAGCTCCAGCTGCCCCAGGGGTTGGCCCAGGGGGAGGATGGTAGCCTCTTCTGACTTCTAGCTCTGGCTTCTGTTTCAGTGCCTCACAGAAGCCCATCATCCCAATCAAAAGTCAGCTGAGGGACCCAGGCTCTCCTCTTCCCATGCCAAGCTTCTCCACCACCCTCCCCACTCCCCACCTGCTTCACTGCCACCCTCTGCCCAACTTCCTGCATCATGCAAGGTCTGAGACCTCATTTTGGACTTTGGGCCTAGTTCTTGTTCCACACAGGTGAGTAGACAGGCCTGCAGGGCTAGTGCACTCAGGGGCTGGCAGGAGAGCTGCCTGGTCAGGCTTCAGGGCCCTGGGTCCCACCGAGAAATGTGTTCTTGGGCTGGAAAGGAAGTAGAACAGGGTGGGACTTTGTGGCAGCACAGGCAGTCCTGGGATGGAGAGCCTGCTTTACTAGGTCTGGAAGTGCCCATGGCCATGGTCCCACATGGAGCTCCCATGTTGGACGTGTTGCTGGGAGCTGGTGCAGGGCCAGGTTTCACCTCTGCCCTTCACTATAGTTCACTGGACTTTAGGGAATCAGAGAACACTGAGGGACCCAACAGGACCCCAGGTGGCAACTTTCACGGTAGAAGGAGAGGGACCTTGGAGAAGTTCCTTGAAAATGTTCTAGTCCTATGTCTGCATGGACTTGCCATGTGATGCTGGGCCTACTGAAGGTCCTGAGCAGGACATCCTCTCTGACCTGGTGTGCTCAGACACTCTATGTGGGTGACTTGGATATCCTAGCAGCCTAGAGTGGGCCATCAGTACCCAGGGGACAGGAACCAAAGGAGGGGAACTGAGGGCAGACCCTCACCAAACTGGCAGATGTAACGGTTTCGAGTTTTGCAGCGTTGGTCGTTCCAGTTGAAGGCAGCAGATGCCTGCAGCTCCACACAATTGCCAAACCTGCCAGACCAGAATATGGGGTGCTCAGAGTGGAGGAATGAAATCAGGGTCTTCCCTGCATTAGGCCATCTGGGCCCAGGTGCCCCAACCACAGATGGGGCTACTGGGAGCCAGACCAACCCTCAAGCTCCCATTATGCTTCCAGAGCACGAATGCTCTTCTCAGGGAAGCCAGGAGGTCTCAGGAGACCCATCACTGCAGCACTCAGCCACACCAGCCAGTGGGATGAACGTGGAACAGAGAGCCCAGGTCCTTCCCTTCCATCAAGGAGACGTGTCTGGAGCCTGATCAGGCCTGGCTGCTGGCAAGGAGGGCTGGGGATGATATTTGGAGCTCTTACTGGCCACACAGCCTCACCACCTTCACCTCTGCTGCCCCTGCCCTGGGCGTTCCTGGGCCTGAAGGCATAGAACTAGAAGGTCTTTGGTAGGGGGGTCAGGACAGCTAGGGGGTCAGCTGGGGAGTGGATGTGTGCATGAAGGATGCAGGTGGGTGGACAGCTGGAGAATTGGTGTATTGATACAAGCAGAGGGTAGATGGGCCAGTGGAGGGAGGGGCAAGTGAATAATAAATAGAGGGGCAACTGAGGGGACAATGGGGATGGACAGATGCACTAAACTTTCTTGGGTTTCCTCTTTTTGGGGGGAGCAGTACTTGGGATTGAACTCAGGGGCGCTTTGCCACTGAGCGATGGCTCTTCCTTTTTATTTTTAATTTTGAGACAGGGTCTGGCTAAATTGCTGAGGCTGGCCTCAAACTTGCAATCCTCCTGTATTAGCCCCGCAAGTTGCAGGGGTTACAGGTATACACCACTGTGCCTGGGCTTGGGGTCCCTCTCTTTTATATCATGCACCTTCTGATTTATACCTCCCTCACCTCAGGCCTGTGCCTGCACCAGCTGTGCCCAGACTTCCCTGGCACCAGGTCAGGCCCAGAGCCTCAAAGGGCTGGACCAAGCAGCAGGCTGGGTAGAGGTTCTTCAGTGGAGTCCAAAGACTCAACCAAGGAGGCCCAGGCGACACCCTTGGCCCAGGGGAGTGCGGGCACCCCAGACTCACCCCTGGTTGTCAGGCTGCCCAAAGGCAAAACTGGTGAAGGAATGGTGTTCCCCAGTAGTCCAGCGGAAGGAGTCCTTTGCCATCTTGTAGGTGAGCCCTGGGCCAGGGTAGCCAAGGTTGCCTATCATCTGAGAGCCCAGGGGCCCTGAGAGGAGTATCTGAGCCCAGGAGCCTGGTGCCTCATACCTTTTGGGCCCCCAGCTCTTAAACTCTTCCCAGTGCCTCCAGCCCTTGCCTCTGCACTGTGGTTCACCCCTCCTGCAGCCCTCTCCCCAGGGAAGGGGGTTGGAAGCCTGTCTACCCTCCCTGTTCTGGACTCTAAGCCCTCAACATACCCTTGCTATCTGCTAGGGAGTACTCTGGGTTGCCATAGCCCAAGCACAGGATTCCTGGAGCTCTGTAGAACATTCAGCCCCACGTTTCCCATTCACCACACCCCAACCAGCCAGGCACTCACCGATCCAGAAGTTCCTGGTCTCAAAGTCACTGTCAGTCACCTCGTTGGTGGTCTCCAGGCGACTCAGGTAGAAGGCAAGGATATCCTGTACTTTCTGGCTCTCAATTTGGGCTAGTGTCCCTCCCTTTTCCTGAAATCCCAACCCTGGGTCTCAGTGGCAGGGCTCCAAGAGCTTAGGCCAACCCTTTCTCCCATCCTGCCACCCCACCATGGCCCTGGATCCCAAATGTGTGTGCTGGTCAGGCCTCATCACATACCCCTTAATGATCTCTTGCCTCTGAGAATAGAGGTACCATTCCCTTCCCTGACAGCTTTTCCTCTGTTTGTACACAGGTCACAGGCCAGGCAGGGTCCTGCCCTCAGGAGGGTTTTGTCTTAACTGCACAGTACCTTAAATATATTCACATTGCATATTGGCAACATTAATTAGTCAAGAATTACGGATGAAGATGTGGATTTCTGACTTTGAAAAACCCTGAGTCCTGACAACCTGACCTGCCATTCTGTTTGGAAATCAGCATCTGGAGCCGGGTCAGGACAGTGCCTAAGACAGAAGTTGGGGGTGGGGGCTTTGTCTCTGGGTTGCTCACTTAATGACCTCCTGGCTTCCTGAGCCTCTGGGTCTGTGACCTCTGTTTTATATTAGGTCAGGAGAAGGCAAAGGAACCATCATTTAGTCCAGGGTCATCTCATTCCAACTCTCATTTGAGAACCTGAGGGGTTCCTGGGAAGGTAGAGGTTACCATCACCTGGCATTTCATCTTGGCTCCATAATAGGTGTCTGCCTCCGAAGACACCATGAAGCAGTCTCCATCGATCCTCAGGTCACAGGTGTGGAAAGGAAAGTGCACCTTGGCTGGTGGGGTGGAGGGGACTGAGTTTGTGAACCCTCCTTAGAATCATGACCCTCTCCCACCCTGCCAGAGATCTAAGCTCAAGATGCTCCTTCCTGTGGCCACCTGCTCCAAACTGGAAGCAGGTGGGCTCAGTGGTGTGCTGATAAACGTATAACAATGAGCTCTCGCTCTTAAATATGTATGAAACCCATGAATACTTGTCGATTTCAGTGGTGTAAATACCCCCACTGTGGGTATTTGCTAGGGAGTACTCTGGGTTGCCATAGCCCAAGCACTGCAGACTACAAATATGATGTCATGGAGGGAGGAGCTGGGAAGAGATGCATACAATGGGATTCTGGAGCTGATAGAACCCAATCCAGTACCCCACCAAAGGGAGTCCTGGGAGGGGTCTTAGGGCAGGACTCACTGGCACACTGGGCTCCCCCATAGCCAACGTCGCAGACGCAGGAACACTCCTCTTCCCGGAACCTGCCATGAAGGCACTGCACACTGCACCGCACTGCCAGGACAGGGCAGGAGGGCAGAGCACTCAGCCTCCAGCTTCCCGACACCCAACCTGCCCTCCATGTTGCTCCCCACAGACCTTGAACATTCAGCTACAACAGCAAGAGCATCCCTCTTGGGGACAGAGAGCACCTGGGCTTCCAACTGCCACTACACTTGGCTTCTTTGGTTTGATCCTCATTATAGAAAGAAGCAAACTGGGGTTTGGGAGGTGACCTGCCCAGGGTTGTAGGGTTGGGGGGCAGTGGAACAAGAACCCATTTCTTTTTCCTAATTCTGTCTTCCTCCCTGTCCCATAGCCTCAGGGCCATTTTGAGTCCCCTGCATAGCACAGGGTCTGGCAAACTGTTGGTGCTCAATGAATGGCTTGTTGAATGAATGCATGCAGTGTGCAGACCCCAGCAAGTACTCCCAAGTAATCCACTCAGAGACTCCCTCAAAATGCTCTCAGCCTCCAGCCACCCCACAGCCACACCATAGAGCAGGGGTTGACACAACAGGGTCACCTCCCTCCTCACCCCTTGGGACTGCCTGCATGGGCACTAGGTCCTCACCTTGACAGTATCTGCCTGTGTAGCCAGGGGGACAGTGGCATTGGCAGGTGCTAATGTTGAGATGTCCATGGTTCCGGCAGCTCATGCGACATGGGTTCCTGGGGACCTCTGGTCAGGCACGGAGGGAACTCTAAGAAGGGGCCTCCCCTCCGCAGTCAGGAAGGTGCCTCCCTGGGTGGTGAGGGGTCAGGGCTTCTGGGATAGTCCCTCAGGCTGCTGTCACTCATGCCAGAGCCACCTACTGTCCCAGGAGGAGGTAAGAAGGGTGGGGCACTCACCACAGAGCCCCCCTGCATGGTCCCAGGCCTTGAAGCAACCAGAAACACTGGCTGTGCAGAGCGAACACCAGGCGCCCTTCTTATAGGGGGTGATTGTCTTTCCGTTTACCTTCCAGTTGCCTCTGTGAGAACAAGGGTCAGAGGATCTGGAAGGGGCCAGCCTTGGGCAGAGCAGGAATGGGGCCTTGCTGCCTACCCACAGGCCCCTTCAGCTCTTTCAGCATGCCCACAGAGTCAGGGAGCTGGGTGAGACAGGGAGATTTTCAAGGAAGAAACAGATGACCTCCAAACAAATCCCCTGAAACCAGGCATGCTTTCAGGAAGGGACATCACGGATAAGCCTCAGTCTGCACGTCCAGAATCTTCCACAAGCTCTCCTTTCCCTCCTCTTCCCTCTCCCACACAGGGTGCAGACCAAGGGGTAAAGGCCATTTGGGTGGACAGGCATCTCACCCTGGATGAAAGTATCCCACTTAGCCCTCCCCGTAGCCCATGTTGTGGGCACTTACCCAGGAGAGTAGGCACAGACAAAGGCTTCCATCGCCACCTGGCCCACAGAGCACCGGTGTCGCCCACAGCCCAGCTGACTCGAGGTAGCCCACACGAGCTGCAGGGAACACAGTGGCTCAGAAACACTATCATAGACTCCCTCCTCTCTAGCATGCACAGGCAGTGCATGCTTGGCAGGGGGGGCAGAGTTTGGCTCACAATCCACATAAAAAGAAAGCTCCCTTACTTCCCCGGGGGCCTCGGGAGCAGCTGTTCTGGGCAGAGCTCTGAGGATGGTGGGAATCATGTAGGAAGCCTTTCTGAGTGGGGTGGGGAGTGGGGGCAGTTAGCAGATGTTTGAAGGGAGGGGAAATTTGGGGGTGGATGGAGAAGAGTGGCAAAAGAAAGTCTTGGACATCAAGGGCCTTGTGATAGATTGCAAAAATGTACATGACCTTTCACTTCTTGCTATAGTCCACTTTTTTTGGGGGGGGGCAGGTAGTAGGGATTGAACCTGTGGGCACTTTACCACTAAGCTACATCCCCAGAATTTTTATTTTATTTTATTTTTAAATTTTGAGATGGGAATTCATTAAGTTGCTGAGTCTCGTTAAGGTGCTGAGGCTGACCTGGAACTTGAGATCCTCCTGCCTCGGACTCCCAAGGCCCTGGGATTATAGGAGTACACCATGGTGCCTGTCTAGCTCATTGCTTATTTTTAAATTTTTAAAATTTTTTTATTTTTCTGTAGTTGCAGATGAATAGCATGCTTTTATTTTGTTTGTTAATTTTTCTGTGGTGCTAAGGATCAAACTCGGTGCCTCACATATGCCAGACCAGTGCTCTGCCACTGAGCTACAGCCCCAGTCCTTCTGAGGTGAGCCAGCTGACCTCAGTTGGCCTCACCTGCAACACTCACCTGAGTATAGTGTGTACAGGTGGCATTGTGGGTACACTCGGCTGCTGCATGGCTGTATTGCTGCCCCTCTGCATACCAGAGACTGACCACTTCAACAAAGGAGGCCAAGCCTGCAGGCAGCAACTGCACATTCCAGCCCACTTGGGGAACCCGCCGTGGGTCAGAAGTCAGGATTGGGGTTGGGGCGCCACAGAGAGCTGCCCTGGCATAAGCCAGTTGGGCCAGGCTCTCGCTCCAGTCCTGGGGGCAGAACAAACAGATATCCACAGAAGACCTTTGTGCAAAGGAGAGGACCACTGGGCAATGGCTTAACTCCCCCATTGTCTCTGAGTATCCACGTCGAGAGCCGTCCAGGGGCTGCGTGTGGACTCATTGGCAAGGTAGCCAGTGACGGGGGTAGATCTGGCACTGGGAACTTCCTGTGGCAGTCCCTCTGGAATAGATCCCCTGAATGCAAGTAAACTCTCCCTCAGCTCTGCTAAGAGGTCTCATACAGCACCAGCAATGGGGGGACCTGCTGCAGCCACACAGCCTCTCAGAGATGGGTGTGACCTGCCAAGGTGCCAATCAACCTGCTGACAGCAAGACATCACGAAACAAGACTCTACCCCTGAAACCTTAGTCACCGAGTCTCACAGAGACTGAGTGACTGCTGGAGGTCATGCTGGAGGTCATGCAGGAGAAATGAAGTGGCTGGGTTAGAGAGGAGTGGAGTGGGAAGAGGTCAGCTGGTGCTGGTGGGAATGTGCAGGTGAGCACCTACAGAGCACTCTACTCACTGGGGCCCAAATGCCCAAGCCCAGGGGACCTCTCACCCTTTTTTTTTCGCCTGGGCCTGGGCATTTGGGCAGTCACTCAATCCCTGTGAGACTCAACATCCTTATCTATAAGGTGCCTATTGGAAAGGGTTGTGGGGACCGAATAAATACAGGGAGGAAGGTACCCTGCTCAGGCAGACCCACAGAAAGCTTCAGTTTGGGCTCGTGTTCATTATGATTTTACCTCTGATGAGGGCTGGAGGTAGGTAGAGGGTTCTCCCCAGGGCTCCTCAGAAGCCACAACCACCCCAATGGCTTCATCTTCACCATGTGCAAAGAACAGGTGTCCTAGAACCTCAGAGGCCCACAGGGATACATGGGGCAGAATGGGAGTGGGCTGCTGGTGGGCCTCCACTTGTGTCCTTTTTAGGAAGGTGAGTTTCTAGGGCTTTGCCAAGGGCCCTGGAAAAGTTATAAACTGCCAGCCAACTGATCATAGCTCTTCCCTGCCTGCAGGGTCTTGGGAGAGAGCACTCACAAGATGCTGGGAGCATCTTGGCTACACAGAACTCACTCAGGGCAGGAAAAGGGGAAGAAGCAACCTGCCCTCCTCCGGCCTGCCCCACCCCCACCTCCTGGGAAACTGACCCCTGAGCTCTCAAGGTCGCCACCCACACACTGTAGCTGCCAGCCTCACAGGAGTTCATGGGAGGCAGCCATGAGGAACCGCTGCTGGGCCCCTAGCCATTCTCCCCTGCCCTTCCTCCCTGACCTGTTAACATGGGCTGGAGCTGCTGGGTTTCAGGCCATGGGGACATAATTTTTGAACTCCAGGATGACAGTTCCAACCCTGCAGTCTCAACGAAATTGGTGGGAAAACTTCCATATGCTCCCCCCACACCCTGTACCTCACTCCTGCTGTGAAATTATGAACTGCGAATGTGTGAATAGGCCAGGAAATTGAGAGGCCCCTCCTAGTTTCCCAGAAAGATCCTGGTCACACACAAGCCCCTCCACAGCTCAGCAGGCCACTTGTCCCTCCCGTTCCCCACTCCTCCCTTCCCACTGGACTCTGTGCAGAGCTCCTGTTCCCTGGGGGAGGAGATCCCAGCTCCTAGCATGTCTCCTGGTCTCCGTGGCAACGGGATACCAGGGAAGACCCAAGGTCTGCCTTTTAGGCAAGCGTGAGCCAGGGGCATGGCCTCATATACTGAGGGTCCTTCTGGGGAGGAGTAAGCCACAGAGCCCCCTCAGCAACTAGGGCCATGGATCCTCAGCAGGCAAGGTGACTGACTGTCCCCACCAGCCCTTCCCAGGCAGAAGGGCACCTGGCACTGGCATGGCCTGGTGAGCCCCTGACAGGTCTCTGTCTCTTCAGCTACCCTCCCACTCTGGTGGAGCTGGAGTTGGGGGCACTCACCATTCTCCGCATGTTGGCTGCAGGAGGTTGAACCCGACTGCGCAGGCGGTTGTGTAGAGACAGGAGCAAGAAACTCTCCTTCCTGTTCAGGGCTAGGGACAAGGACAGAAGGCCAGGTCACTGAACAGTGAGCAGTGGGACTGGGTCAGTCCTCATGGCAAGGTAAGAGTGCAGCCTCACCCCTAGGATACAAGGCCTGAGACAGAGAAGAGCAATGGGTGGGTATGGGGGAGAGGGAGGGAGATGGAGACAGGAGTAGGAGTGAGAAGAGAAAGACCGGATATAAAGTAGTGCCATGACTGAGGAGTGGGGGACAATGGAGGGAATGAGGGACTGGGACCAGGCATGTGGGGACTCAAAACCCACCCTCCTCTCAGCGATTGCATCTCTCTGGGTCATCAGCTCCAGCCTTCAGCTGGTACTCCACTTTGACCCCAACGTGGGCCCATCCCCTTGTCCTTCTTCCCAGCCCCAGTATCCATCCATCATGCCCCCTGGACTGTCCTTTTGGGTCCCTCCTCAAATCACACCAACACCACCCAGGGCTTAGGCCAGAGATCTGGCTTCCAGAAATCTCCTGGTACCCCCTCCTCAAAGCTCACAATGGCTCCTCTACCTCTGTCCTTCCCCTCCTTCCCTTACCTCTGGGCATTTGAGCCTGCTCTGGTGGTTGGGGTGGCTGCACCTCTGCCCAGGCGATGCCAATGAGAGTCAGGAGCACGGGCAGGAGGCCAGGCCAGTGGCCCTGGCCTCCCGGCCCCAGGGAGGGCTCTGGCTGCAGCATGGGCCAGTCGGTGCTGCAGGCACAGTCTGGCTTCACCAGCCAACTCACTTCCCAGGAGAGATGGAGCTCTTCACAATCTCAAGGAGTCGGGTGGGCTGGCAGACAAAAGGGGGAGGCCCCGTGAGTAATCAGTGTGTCCAAACAGCCTCCTGTTGTTGCTGGCATGAAAAGAGACAGACAGCTCCCCTGGATGCCTCCAGGCTCCAGCCTCTGTGGCCTGGCCAGCCTGCCCCACCGACAACAGGCAGAACAGTGTGCACTGACCTCGTGGCCCCTGCTAATCATTGCAGGATTATTAGCGCCCTCGGGGAGCCCCCAGAGACCCCGCTGATTGGCCCACAGACATTCCAGAACAGTGGATTAGTGACTGATGGCTGTTCCCTGGCTGGGACAGTATCCTCCAAGCCCATCAGCAGTTTCTGTTCCCCAGCCCCAGACCCAGGGAGGAGGCTGGGGCTTCAGCTTTGTTCCCTGTGGGGCAGGCAGGAACTGGGCAAGACCCCAAGGGAGTTCTTTCCTTTCTTGGGAAACTCATCCCAACTCCCTGCCATGAATTAAACATAGGCAGGAGGTAACCGCACACCAGACAGGTGCCACCAATGAGCTCAAAGGGGAGTGGGCTGGGCTGTGCTTTTGGGAGGAAAGGGGAGCATTACTGAAGTCTGTCTGGGCAGCGTGTGGGTAGGGTGAGCCCAGCCCTGGTACCTGCCATCCTCACCCATGTGATTGTGAGCCAGGAGGGGACAAGGCAGGCAGGGAGGAGAGTGCATGACGTATTCCCTTGGCTGACTGCAGCCCTGCTGGGAACAAGTCGGCTTCTAGGCCATCAGGCCACAAGGTAGCCACAAGGCACACATGGCCATATGACTGGGGCCTGGCTAAGCCTACACAATAGCACCAGAATTACTGCAGCGGGTCTCACAAGGCCACACCCCAGTGCCCACATTCCTCTCAGGGCTGATCAAAGGTTATTCAGCCATCCCCAAGCACAGTGGCAGCCCCTGACCCCTGAGCCAGCACCATCTCAGGGTGAGGTGTCAACTCCATGGAAACTCTGCTGAGATGCAAGGGCTTGGCTTTCTGGGAAGCACTGATGGAATGTGGGTATCATTATGAGTGTGTCCCTGCACAGTACCTAGGGCCTCAGAGTTTCTTTGCCCTCAGATGGAGACCTGGCAACCTCCAGCTCGTCATCTCCAGGTCCCAGCAATGCTTAAGCAATAGCCAAGTCTAAATAAAGCCCCCAAAGCACAGTCACATGTGAGTCATTTTGTTGTCACAAACCAGTGCAGTAGCAAATGTGATACCAAGGAGTATTTATAGATGAGGAAACTGGGGCTCAGTAAGTACAGGGACTTGTCCATGGTCACCCAGAAAGTACCTGGTGCATCACAGCTAACTCAGGGCCTCCACTTTTACTTTTCTAGTGCTTTAATTCATATTGTGGATTTTTCTGAGTTCTATTTTTCACACCCCTGCTCTAAGCTGTATGATAAATGACTTAGTTCGTGCTCCTGGGCTTCAGTGATATGTGTGGCTTGTTGTCTCATGTAGTTTGATACCAGGCACCTGAGTCAGGTGGGAGGAAAATAAATTCTAGGGGTTGGGGTAGAATAACTATCAAAGGGTCCTACTGGTCCTAGGCCAAGGCTCACTGAAAGAGGAGGCCAGGGTGAGCCCAGTCTTAGGAGCTGGAAGAGGAAAGGCTGTGAATACACCATTAGACAGATCCCGGAAGGCCTGGGCTGTGACCAAGACACTGTGTGTGACCCGGGTCTTGCACCCCTAGGCCTCAGTATCCAATGGCAAAAATTAGGGATGACAACCCTGGCTGGACTCCTTTACCAAAGCTTCACACCTTGTTTTACATGATATTTCTTCTTGAGTCTAGACTTTTTACATTGTTTGCTCAGTGATTGGGGTAGGTTTTTGAGAATGGGCCTGTTCTTGCAAAATGGCTTTCTCCAGATGAGGTTATTACAGCTTTTGTTACAATAAACAGGTGTTGTAATTCACATTTCATTGTTTGCTTTGTCACATGTCTCTACCTATTCACCTGCTATAATTTGGATCTGGAATGCCCCTCTGGGCCTGTATTTTAAAGCCTTGGTGTTATTGGAAGGTGGTAGAGCCTCTAAGAGGTGGGACTTAGTTGGAGGAAGTTAGGTCACAGGGTCATGCTCTTGAAGGGGATGTCAGACCCCGGCCCCTTCCAGTCTCTTTGCCTCCTGGCTGCCTTGAGATGAGCAGCTTTGCTCCATCACGTGCTCCTGCCATGACATTCTGCCTTATTACAGGCCCCAAAGCAACTGAGCCAACCTATGCTTTAATGAAACCTCTGAATTTGAGAGCCAAAATAAACCTTTATTTCTTTTACATCAATGAGCTAAGGTATTTCGTTTCAGTGGCAGAAAGGTGACTAACTCAGTAGCCCTCTCCTGCTCGTCACCTCTTTTCTCAATTTGTATTCTTTCTCAGAAAACTGTATTTGTGTTTAAGCTATTGTTTCTCTTCCTGAAGAAGTTCACGTTTCCACAGCCATTGAATCATATTGATGTTCTCCAAAAAATTCTCTTTCAGATTTGCATTCAACTCCAGATCTGTGGTCATGTCTCTTCTAGAAATTGTATGTTGTTGTCATTATTATTATTATTATTATTATTCATTAATAAATTTATTTGTTTTTTGGTACCGTGGATTGAACTCAGGGGCAGTTGACCACTGAGCCACATCCCAAGCCCTATTTTGTATTTTTTTTAGAGACAGGATCTCACTGAGTTGCTTAGCATCTCACTTTTGCTGATGCTGGCTTTGAATTTGTGATCCTAGTGCCTCAGCTTTCTGAGTCACTGGGATTACAGGTATGCGCCACCATGCCTGGCAGTCCATATTGTTTTATTTTTAATTTTTTAAAACTTTATTTTGTAGCCAGGTGCAGTGGCATATGCCTGTCCATCCTGGCTACTTAAAAGACTGAGACAGAAGGGATTGCAAGTTTGAGGCCCAGACTCAGCAAGTTAGCAAGGCCCTGTATCAAAATAAAAAAATAGAAAAAGGGCTGGGGGTGTAGCTCAGTGGTGAAACACCGTGGGTTCCATTCCTGGTACCAAAAATAAATACTTTCATTTTTGATACAGGGTCTTGCTAAGTTGCAAAGGCTACCCTTCAATTTGCAATTCTTCTGCTTCAGCCTCCTCAGTGACTGGAACTACAGGCATCAGCCACCTTGCCCAGCTAAGTTACCAGTAACTCTACATGGGTAAATTTCTTTTTCTTTTTTCTTTAATTTTTTTTTTTTTAGTTGTAGTTGGACACTTATTTACTTATTTTTATGTGATGCTGAGGATCAAACCCAGTGCCTCGTGCGTGGTAGACAAATGCTCTGCCATCGAGCCACAATCCCTCTTTTTCCTCTTTCTTTTTTGATGTTGGGGGTTGAACCTAAGCTCTTGTGCATCCTAGGTCGTCCTACTGCTTGCTACATCCCTAAAACTTATATGGCTATGGTACCCGATGTTTGGTTAAATGCCAGTCTGGACACTGTTGTAAAAATATTTTATAGATGTGATTAATATTTAAATCAATAGACTTTGAGTAGGGAAGATTACTCTCAATGCTATGGGTGGGCCCTATCCAAACAGTGGAAGGCCCTAAGAGAAAGACAAAAATTCCCTAAAGAAAGGCATTCTGTCTCCAATTCTTTGAACTTGAGATGGCAAAGTCAGATCTTTCCGGACTTTCCAGCCTGATGGTCTGTTCTACAGATTTCAGGTTCACCAGCTTCCATAATTAATTGAACTGATTCCTTAAAATAAACCTTTCTTTTTTCTTTCTCTGTTATATATTTCTCTTTGGTTCCGTTTCTCAGAAGAACAGTGACTGATGCGAAGGTCTAGGAAAGGCAACTGCCCAAGGTCATACACCAACGGGGAGGCAACGCTGGCATTCAGGCCAACAGGTCCAACCCAAGGTCATGGTCACCAACCAGCACAAGCTGGGACGCTGAGCGTGCTGAGTTACAGCATGCCTCAGAACTCCTGCAGGGTCTGAGCGTCCTTGACTCTAGAGCCTTTCATGGGAACATACAGCTAGAGAAAGGGCGCATCCCTCTTTTCAAGGCTGCCCCAAAGGCCTGAGGCACTCTCTACCATAGAGGTCACAATGAATTAGCCTTCGGAGGGAGATTTTATTAGTCTGATTTGGGTTTCTAATTAAATGCGACAGAGTCCGCTAAATGGAAGGGGCTGTGTGAACCCGGGAATTCTCAATCCACAGACCACAGCGCCACCTACTGGTCTATGCACGTGGACAAACGCAGTAAACGCATCCCCACTCCGTCTGAGGCAACTCTGGCATGATTCTCATTTTAAAGATCGGCAAACTTTTTTTTTTTTTTTAATTTATTTTTTTTTAGTTCTTGGCGGACACAACATCTTTGTTTGTATGTGGTGCTGAGGATCGAACCCCAGCCGCACGCATGCCAGGCGAGCGCGCTACCGCTTGAGCCACATCCCCAGCCCAAGATCGGCAAACTTTTATTTTTATTTTTTATTTTTTAATAGGGGTTGAACCCAGAGACGATTAACCATTCCCAGTCCTTTTTATTTTTATTTTTGAGTTGTAGATGGACACAATACCTTTATTTGTTTATATGGTGCCTAGGATGGAAGCCAGTTCCTCGCACGTGCAAAGCAAGTGCTCTCACTGAGCTACATCCCCAGCCCTTTTTATTTTTTACTTACAGACAGGGTCTACTAAGTTGCTTAGGGCCTTGCTGAATTGCTGAGGCTGGCTTTGAACTTCCATCCTCCTGCCTCAGCCTCCTGAGCCTTTGGGATTACAGAGGTGCGCCTCTGCGCCTGTCAGCAAACATTTAAAAATTTTTAAAACGTTTTAAATAAAATTTCTTTCTCCCTCTCCCCATTTCTTTCATTATCTATGAAATGTAGGCATAGTGCTAGTGTTGGGGTTTCCATGAAACCCTATGCTCCTGGGGCGGGCTAGAGAAAAGGGCGCATCCCTTTACAAGGCTGCCCCGAGGCCTGTGGCACTCTCTACCATAGAGATCACAAGGAAGATTTTATCGGGCCAGAAACAGAAGAAGAGAGGTATCCAATGGCTTCAAAAAAAAAAAAAAGCAAGTTTCTATAAATCTCTTTGGAAATAGTTTGTCCTTCAGTCTTGTTGATTTTCATTCATTCAGAGGCTATTGTTATTGTGCTGCCTGAAACCTCAGGTGCTTCTAAGGA